CCTGTCTCATGTAACTACACAAATGTCATATTAGATGAACTGTTGTGTGAAAATTGCCCAACACTTTGTAGATACTAATCATTTATTTTTGTGCCCTTTTTTTCATGAGGTTTTATTTTAGGCTTTTTGTTTTTTTGTAAATAGCATATAATGCATTAGCTTTGCAGTTTCAGTCTACCATTTTAAAAGAAAAATATAAATTTTCAGATTGTTACAATTGCTACTTTTGACTTCATTTAATTAGCTTTGTTATTTTCTGTCTTTTGCTCTACAGACTAAAATTTCTTTGCTTTTGTTTTTTTTTTTTTGGCAGTTCTAGTGTTTTAAACTCAGGGTCCTCACAGTTGCTAGGCAAACATTCTACCTCTTGAGCCATGCTTCCAACCCTTCACTTTTCAAACTATTTTTCAGATAGGGTCTTGCATTTTTGCTGAGAGTTGGCTTCCAACTGTTATCCTTCTACCTATACCTCCTAAGTAGCTGGAATTACAGCTTGCATAACCACGCCCAGCAGTCTTGCTAACCTTTTGCTTAAGCTGGCTTAGGACCATGATCATCCTAGCTCCACCTCTTGCAGAACTGGGATTATGGTGTGAGCTACAGCACCTGGTCTTTTTACTTTTGTCTTTACCCATGATATTAATAGTTCCATTCATTCCATTAAGTGGTCTCTCTAAAGTCTTAAAAGTTTGGTTTATGTGATTATCAGAATAAAAAAACAATGTAGTGCTTTGTGGACTTTATATAATTTAATGCCTTTTCTCCTACCACTTCCTATCTTCATACTTTATTTCATTATTTTCATTGTATTTTACAGCTATATTTACTCTGTTAATTTCTACATACTTAAGTGTTTCAGAATGAAGAAAATGCAACTCCCATAGCTAAGAACTGGCCTGGCACTCGCAGACAAGCCTTGTTGTTCTCCTGTTGAACATTAACAATTCTAAAAGCTCCGACTTCAGATGTGGTCACTCCATGATCTTGCGAAAGGAAACTACTGTGTGATCGTTATCTGTGCAGGCTGTACAGTGACTAAAGGCCTCCCTCTTGTGGCGAACACGAGTGACTGCCGCTTCTTTCCATTACTCTTATCTCCTACATAAAAATTACCCCACTTTCTGACAGCAGCCAATCCAGACACCCTTACTCTGCTGGGCCCCTCCCCAAATTTGCATGTGCTTAAATTCTGTAACAAGCTCCTCCTTGCACCTTCTTACTGAAAAACACCTACAACTCCTGATAGTTTGCAGCACCAGTCTCCACTACACGTCCTGGTGGTCTTCGATGACACCAGTTACCAGCACCAGCAGTTTGCTGCCAAAGTTCCTATGGCAGCTCCCCAGCCTCAAAGACAAGTGATATCTTTAAGACCCAGGCATTTTTAATCCTCCCCATCCCTTTGCCAAGGCATCTGAGCCTCTCTCGCCTCAGCTGAGTGTGGACTTTGTGAGTTACAATCTTCCTAATCTAAAGTCAAAAAGCCTGAGACTGTTTAATCTAGTTTCCCTGAAGATGACTTTTTAGGCTGTTTTGTGTCCAAGACATTTTATTAATTTGTTTTTTTAAACAGAAAATACAGTTGTAATCCCTTTGAGACTTTTACATAAAATATGGTGCACTCTCTTCATGTGCAATCTTACAGTGGTTTCCAAGGTTAGCTTCTCTACTGATCCAACTTTCTATAACTGTATTTGTATTCTTTACAGCCTCCAATGAGTATATGAATCTAGGATTTAGGTTCACAAGTAGTCTCTTTTATACCAACACTCCTCTCAACCAGGCAACATCCCCTTACATTAGCCACCAAGTAACAGTTATTTAAAGATGGAGCTCAGTGGTAGAGCACTTGCCTAGTATGTGTAAGGCCCTACATTCCACCCCCTAGCACAGAAAAATAAATGTTTCCTCTGACCAATGACAGTCTGTATGATTAACAAATAAAATACATGCTGATAAAGCCTGAAAGAAGTCTTATTTCTGTGTGCTCAGAACACCTCAAGTACTGCAGATTTTCCCCAGGACTGTTTTATTTCTTATTCACCATTAATTAAAAATATGCCCAAGCCAAGTGTTGGAAAGCATGATGTATAAATCACTCTCAAGCTAGTAGATTCCTGGAGCTGGATGACTGCAGTTTTCCTCCTGGATGCTAGCACACGACTCCTCCATATTTGACAGGGTCAGGCCAGTTGAGGAGACTAAATCGTGGCGTCACTCACTAGGCAGGAGGAAAAACAAAAGTAGCTCTGGAGTTGTTGCTGAGCACCTCATCTTGCTCCTTAACCCACCTGTCAGGCCTGTGTGCTCTGTGGGGCAAAGGCAGCTTCGGTCCCACTGCTCCATTCCCATTAGTGTGGCTCTTCTCATTGGAAGTGGCTAGTCCTAGAGTTCTTTTTACTGTTGATGGGACTTGAAATATTGCTGGTTTGGAGGTCAAAAGTTGCCTGTTACATTATTTCACCAATAATATAAATATAAATATAATATAAAACCTGCTTCTCTTTCTCACCCTGCTGTATTTCTGAATTTGCAGGTGAGGGATTATCCTTTATAAATTATGTTGATTCGGCAGAATCTTATTTATGTGGTTTCACATCAGCATTAATGGCACTTCCTCCTCCCCTGGTCCCTTCTGTATTGTCTTCAGGGAGCATTCCTCTTAGATCCTGCCATATCATTAATTCTCTGTCAGAGTTTACGGTACGGAGAAGCCCTTGGCTGGAATATCAGTCCTGTGAAGATTTGAGCCCAAGCTTTCTCCTAACCAGGTGAGGAAGAACTGAATGTTTTTCTACTTACATATTTCTATGGCTATTTTAGAGATGGAAGATGATGACCCAGTTAGTTTTCATTGGGCTGCTTCTCTATTTTTTAAGATGTATAATCTTGACTAATTTCTATACATCATGGTAATTTTATTTACATAAAAAAACACTATTAATACTACTACTGAAAAATCGTATCATAAAATAAAAACATCCTAACTAATGTTCTGAATAATGTAAAAAAATATGTATCAGAGAAGCAGAACGATGCATCAAAAAGCAAACAGCAGTTATGTTTGGGTGACAGAACTGTGGGTGAATTTTATTCGTTCCTTTTATTTTCTAAATTTTTAAAGTCAATGGCCAAAATTTAACAATGTTAAAATTACTGATTTGCATGTTCATGAGAGAAACAAAGAGAATAGGTCTAGAAACTGTTTTCTAAGACATCTCTCACAATACAGTGCATCAGACAGTGTCACAAATGAATGTGTTTCAATAAAAACAAGCACTAAGTCAAAACATGATTGTGTAATGTTCTCAAGAAAGGCTACCCTAGAGGCAACTGATCAGTATGGTCTCACAAAGAGTAAGGTCAGAGGACAGAGACATATGTCTGAAGAAACAGTGAAACCATAAAAAGGAAGTCAAGACAAGAAAATACCTGAAGCAAAATGATGCAAAATTCAGTAGGTACGGACAGAAGTGCTAGGGCGAAGGAGTCAGACCACAAGCATGCTTGGGCACGCCTGAGTACCTCTTGTTGCTAATTAACCCCAACCTACACAGAAACACTCGTTTTCCCACAGTGGGTCTTTTCGGTAACATCACTCCTTTTAACAGCAAACTATTGTAAACATATACAAATAAGAAGATTGCAACACTTATCACAGTTGAAGAAGGAAGAGATGAATAAACATATTCATTTTTATGACTTAGTTTTTTATGCTAAAATTCCAAATTCTACATAGACAGTGGAGGTGTCTTGTTCTTGTTTCCCCTGCAACTGCTTCCCCCCCTTCTTAATAGCACCTGAATTTCAACCCCAACCTCTGCCTCCAACTCCCAGTTCTGTGCTTTGGGTTCTATTCACTTTATAACTCACTATGATGATGTCCCAGGGAAAGAAAATCCAGTCACAGTCAATGATGAGATGGTTGTAGGACTTGTAGAAAAAGACATGCTCTTTTGGCCTGTCCTTGCCCAGGCTGGAGTGTGTGAGAACACAGCATGAAATCATTACATCCTGTCTAAAATCTGGCATTGCAGGGAGATTCTGTGTGGACTCTGAGAGCAAACCAACAGGACAGGGAGAGTGGCGACCTTGTAGACATCGTAAGTGGCCAACCTAGACTAATTCAAAGCTAGGGCTGCCTCTAATTGTTTCAGTTATGTCAATCAAAAACTTTTCTTGCTTGCGTAAATCACTTTATGTTTCCGTCATAGGCATACATTAAATTTCTGGTTAATGTAATTTATCAATAAAACACTTCCTCATCTGAGCAAATTTACTCAAGTGAAAACTACACAAATACTTTTTAGAAAAGAAATATATGGGTATGTTCACTTCATGATATCCAACAAGTGGTACACTTATGATTTGTACACTGTACCACATGGATGTTATTCTTCACTTAAGAACTAAGGTGTGACCGTGCATGCCTGTAAATCCCAGCACTCAGGATGCTGAGGCAGGAAGACTGTGAGTTTGAGGCCAGCCTGGGCTACATATTAAGATGCTGTCTCAAAAGAAGGAGGAATGCTGTTGCACATACTAAGTCACCAATATGCAAATCACATCATTTTCTGATAAAAAAGTTTATCGTGAACAGTCCCTCAGATCCAAGTCCCAGACTTAGCTGATTATAAAATATACTCTCAAGTTCCCTGGATGAAGGAGGCAGCCCAACAAGTACATATTAAGTATGTATTTGTCACTGAAACTTTAAAGAAAAATATGAGTCTTTCTCCTAGTGGACCACAATCTATAAGGTATGCAAGACATACAGTTACCATATACAAATTTCTAGAAGCAAGAATGGCAAAACCAAGTTACAGTTAGAAATGGATAAGATTAAATTTGATTCACTGTTAGCATTAGAAAACAAGAATTCATGTAAAAGAGCCAGGAAATTTTCAGGTGAAAAAGATTCCACAAAACTCCCAAGTCATGTTTAGCGATAGTGGTGGAGACTCTATCTCATAAATGTCTAAGGAACACAGCATATTCTGTATTATGTTCACATGAAGGCATTTTATTAGCTGGCTTTTCAACTTAAATAATGTCTTGGTTAACAAAGGAACAACTTCCATTAATTGCAAATTATGGTTTCAGAAGATGACTTGTTGGAGGACGGAAATATTTATGCTCAACACAAAATACCTTTATTATAACCTTCAGCCAATCTTTTCCTAGAGTTAACTAAAAGAAGTGCCCAGGTCAAACATCAATTACTCCCAAAGCCCACTTAGTTACTTTCCCTAAAACATGTGCAGAACAACTGAATGAAAAGGGAAAACTGCAAGTACGCTGTGGTTAGCTGGAGGTAGAATCCATTGCATGACGATTTAAATATTCTGTTACTACTTCTGACACTTGCCGTAAGGCTCACAAAGTAAATCCACTCACTGTCCTTCCAAAGGCAAAGATGCTTTTTAAAATCAAAGTGCAATATTAGCCTTTCATTGTCAGTTGGCAACTTGAAATTTTTGCAGGAGTGGTTATTATTAATTTTTTATAGTTAATTAGAGCTTCACTTTTTTTCTTTCATTTAAAAGAATACCAGCTGCACATTGTCTCTTTAACTGCATAATTGGATTCCTGAAAAACAGCCGTTGGCTATTTCACTGAACTTAGAAATGTAGTAGAAATTCTGACCCATCATTCTTTTATCTGTAAAGAAAAAATAAGACATCTGCTATAGTTTAATCAGTCACATTATAAGAGTAACAACAAAAAGAAAATGACAGCAGAATAATTAAATCAAGAGGAAACTTTTCTTTCCCTACTTTTTTCTCACTTCCCTAGCCATCCTATTTCTAAGATTCACTATAATCTCTCCTTATCTCCCACTCTGTCTTTAGAGTGATCCTTTATAGAGAATGCCTTGACATATTAAACATGATGTTAATGACAATCTTGATGAGCTAGTATTTACTGAATGCAGTGCAATCACCATGCCAAGTGTTCTGTGTGGCGCATTTCGCTTCATAGTAACTGTAGATTCTACTAGCTCATGGCTACAGAAGAGTAAACTGAAGGATAAAGGTACTTGTGGTACTAGCAATCAGTGGAGCAAGACAAAAGTGAGCCCTTTAACTCTGGGCCTGTTCTCTTCACCCTACACTGCTATACACATATATTTTATACAAATGATGTACATAAAGTTACTCGATGGTTTAGAAACTTAAGCACGGGGTTTCACATGATAGAGTAAGCTTTAATGCAACTTAAAGCTCTGTACTCAAAGTATATATCCAATTACATGAACTTAACAGTTTTATGTAGGCAACAATCATATGAAGTAATGAACTACCCTTTAAAATATAATATTCATAAAATTTATGTTAACTGTGATAATGTGAAAGAAAATCAAATTAAATGAAAAAAAATTTAATGAGGGTTCTTCCATTAAACAAAATCACTACATTTAATTCATGTGACTCCTAGTATCTATACTCTCATAATTTGGATTATATTCTTATACAACCTCTTATCAACAGATTTTCTTATATTTTGATCAGTATCAGTGGTGAAGATTATAGTTTAGAAGTTTCACTATGTGAAAGTCCAAAACCAAACATTATCTTCCCATCATTCTTTTAACTTTTAAATGTAAATTTTCACTTCTTATTCCAATACTTTACCCACAATTTTCTTAAGCCATAAAAAGGAAAAAAAAAAAAACCCCAAGAAAACATGACCACAGATGTATAATCAGTCACTTCAAAGTACCTCGGTGACAACACCAGCTGCTATCGTAGAGCCGCTGTACCGTAGCATAAACCTCCCCAGCTCTTTGAAATCTTTATAGAGCTCCAGAGCTACTGGTCTTTGCGTCTGTAGCTCCACCAATGCATTCTGGCCTTTAGTCAGCAGCCTATTAAGAAAGAGGGGAACAAAAGAATAAATGGATATACCATGATAATATCCTGAGAAAGGAATACTTCACTTTTGATCAAAACATTGTCTTCCAAACACGAAAAGAAAAAGTTGTGGATTTTCTCTCTTTTTTTAAATGAAAATATATGTCTTTGAGTTTTCTGGGTTAGTTAAAAGAAATGAGAACAGTAATTCTAGATTTAAGCGGCTGAGCACATTAGCTTACACGTAGAATTCCAGCTATTCAGGAGGCGGAGATCAGGAGACTCCAAGTTCAAGGCCGGCCCAGGCAAAAGTTAGCAAGACCCCATCTCAACCAACAAGGCAGGCATCGTGGCCTGCCTGTGAGCACATCTGGTCCCAGGCCAGCCTAGGCAAAAAGCAAGACCCTATCTGAAAAATAATCTAAAGCGAAAAGGTCTGGAGGCATACTTCAATTGGTAGCATACTTCCCTGACAAGCACAAGTCCCCAGTACCACCAAAAGAAGAAACATCGGATAGTTCATATATTTATATTTTAGCAATCTTCCAATATAATTCTAAGTCTTAAAGGCCTCCTATAACTTAAAATACTCAGTGCCCATTCTGCTCGATGTTTTTATTTATTCCCCAAAGACATTGAGAAGTTTCAAGACAGTGACAACCAAGTGCTACTAAGGTTTAACATTTTTAAATGCATTGAAGAGGAATACAATGCCTATGTCTTTCCCAATAAAATTATCTTTGTTTTGTGGTTTTTGAGATAGGGTCTCACTATGTAGCCCAGGCTGACCTCAATCTCAAGAGTCTCCTGCTTCCACCTTGAGTGCTGTGATTGTAAGTATGCACCACCATGTCTAGCACCAGTAAAATTAAATTTGCAGAGTGTGTTAGAAAGTTATCGTTACTGATTTGCTTTTTGGGCTGGGAATCCAACCCAGGCCCTTTCTCATGCGAAGCACAAGCTCTGCCAATGAACTCTACCCCGAGCCTGCAAACTATGTTTAAAGAAGAGCCAAGACTATGCTAACTCAGTCTACTGCATCCAACCCTATCTCTTTCCTCACAGAGGATAATAGTTCAGGACAAAATCACATAAGGAGCTTTTTAACAATACAAGGCTTACAAAAAATGAAGAATAGGGCCTGGGCCAAATTATTTATGGTTCCATACAAATAAGTAAACAAAATCTCTGGGCATAGGCCCCATCCAGACCTAGTGAAAGAGTAGAAACAAAAAATGGACAGTTGGGAAATAATTTGATTGTGATGTACTCTAGAGGACAGAGGACGGAAAACATAAACTCTCCTAAAAGATTAGTCCAGAGACAGTCTAACCAAACAAGTTCTAAAAAAGAAAACACACAAACATTTTCAAATACTGACTTTATAGATAATTTCAGCCCAACCATTAGAAAAGAGATAAACTATTCATGATTTATTCTTAATTTATTTTCTATAAAGTTCAATTCCATTCTGCATAAAATAATCAAGTATACAGGATATGTGAACTAAAATGAAGGCAAAGGCCAAGTGGTGTTAGTGAAATATAAGAAAAGGACAGACTACAAATAGATGGTTGGGAAAACTAAGAGAGAGTATATTGAGCTAGGATTTTATACGGGGTACAAGGAAGGGAAAAGTCAGGATTAGACAGGATGAGCCAACTTCAGGTTGAATATTTTCCAAATCAATTGTCTGGGTCAAACAACTTAGCTCCTGCACAAAATTTTACATAAGCCAACTAAATGGTTTAGAATCTTGCTTCTGTCATTTGCAAACTCTGGGCCACTTTGCTAGCCTCTTCATATGACTGAGAATGTAAATTATGTGAAAGCATTCATGATAGAGCCCATAAAAATGTGGTCCTCAGGAAATGTTAATCTAATGCTTCTGTCCCTTTTCTCAGAACACTATAGTGAACACTCATTCTAAAGGCTAAAGACTCCTGCTAAGAGGAGCCACCTTCAAGAGCAATAGAGTAGCTCTCTCTCCTCAGAAGCAGGCTTGGTAAGATTCTCTCTTCTACCTGCAGCCAACCCATTAACCTGCTCAAAACCTGTGGGCCTCTGACACAGGTGAGGAGTACCCAAGGATAAAAAAGGGGACTTTGGGTGGGTTTCCCCATAGGACTGAAGTTGAGAAAAACCCCAAAACAGAGGCAGACAAGCCAAGCTGTGAAAGCCTTTACTTGAATTAGAGTAAGAAATCTGCATTTTGCAACATCCACTTCTAGCCTTTTTATATTTTGCTTTTATTTACAGTACACTTTAGTTTCTTAAATTTTCCTTGAAAAATTCCAAACTTGTCTGAGCCAAAGAGGAACTGAACTGTCCACACACCTAGGCCTGGACACTAAATGGTAATCAAAGGACCAAATTGTGGTGATCACTTCAGCTTAAGGATATATGTGGACTTTGAGCAGAAAAGAAAACTTTCTAGGTGGAAAAAAGCAAGGGGTTACAGAACCTGTATATGACTTTCTTCTTAGCGTAGGGAACAAGATCATTAAGCAGGTGACAAGAAAGATAAAGAAAGCATGAAAATGAAATTTGGAACCAGTAGCTAGACATAATTCATCTCTCAAAATGTAGGGATAGTTTTTGAAATTCCTTTGGTCTTCACATCATTAGCGTCTAGGGCCTGATGCATACATACATATTTTTTTATTTTATATTTTTATTTATTTTTTATTTCCAATTCATACTCCCCCACATGTAATAGTAATCATGTCTACAATTCATAGCTAAATAGGAGCTTAAATTTTTACTTTTATTTTTGTTTTAACTTAGTCATGAAAAATACAATCTCTGGAACAAATAAAAACAGATTTTACTTACCTCTGAAATGGCACATATTGCTATCTGTAAGGAATTTGGCAAAACTGTTAATGCTTGTGATCTCTGCATTAAAACACTCACTTTGGCTTTTTCTTTGTGACTTCACCGGTGCTTTTGCTTAAGACGCTAATCAATCGTTTAATAATGGCAGGTTCACTGACAGTTTGGTAGTGTAACAGCACCTAAAACAGAAAATTGTAACACTAAAAACTGTTTACCATAGCAGCCCTGGCCTTCCCTTGTGGCACTCTCATTCTATTACACTCGACTAGATACTCCTGCATGGAGTGGTTCAGAGTCTCTGGTGGCTGCTTTATGTCCCACCTCTACAAGGGAAAATGGTTCTGAGAGGCAGCAGTTCATTTCTATCCCTGCATGTACTGTTTAAAGTTTACACAGTAAACATCCTGTCTGCTTTCTCCATTGTAAAGGTGAGGACAATCACACCTTAGAGTCAGAACAACTGTCACATTGTTATTATTATTGTCCTTACTATTATTACGATAAGAAGTAGTAAGGAAAGAACCTGGGGTTGAATCCCAACTCTTTCACTATAATCTATCTGTACCTCAGTTTCCTCTGTTGTAAATCAGGGAAGCTTTTACAGCATTATGCAAAGAATTACATAGAATGAGACAGTGCCTATGGCATAGTTATAGATGTTCAACAACTATGAATTGTTTCAGCATAAAAATGAGGGAAGGGGGGGGATCATGTCATATTCAGCAGCAATTAATGTACTCATTATTGGGTAATGAGAAAAAAATACTATAAATATGGAGATAAAGAAGAAAAAATTTTAAGGTCCCCTGAGTACCAAATATTGAGTGACAGAATTTATATGTACTATTTAATCATATTTTTATGGGATTTTAGATAGGATTTGAAGTCCCAAAGATACACAGTCAAATCACTTTCGCTGGGGACAAGTTCTCTTTTTTTATGTAGCTTGTATTTATATTAAGAGCAGCAACAATTCATATATATTACATTTGCTAGGATCACAACTGAACATATGAACACAGAATCAGCTCCACACCATGAATACTGCTGGAAGTGACAATTTAGGATTATCAATTCACTGCTGCCATGCCCGTCACAAGTAAAAACATCATAGAAAAAAATCCCCAAACACACATCTTTCAGTACATAACACTGAAGGCATGCTGGGTAAGCGCACACTGCACACAGTGTTATCAGCAACTTACTACCCAAGATTAAGAGTCTACTCTTAATACAAAGTGGAATGAGAGCATGAAGATACATCCATAATGCAGCCCCACATTTTGTTTGTTTCTGACTTTTTTTTCCTTGAACAATTTGGTAACAATGCACCTTTAGTATAAAAGTATTTTTCAACTTTATTAGTATTCAGGACATTAGGAGTTGAGAACCTCTTTTGGTAACAAATACAGTAGTTAGGAATACACATCCCATTCAGGGTGCATAGCTTTATCCTGAATTCCTTCCAGTTAAAAACAGGGCTGGCTGGCACTGTGAGGAGATATAGATCAAGAATCTACAAAAAATAACATAACATGTTTGTTTTTTTACCTAAGGTTACATCCTCTGTTACAGTCTACTGCTTGAATACTTTATAAATACAAATTAAAAAGTAAGGTAACAACTCCAAACAGTCTAAGTTGTTTGTTCAACTCTTTTGGGGACAAGTTCTTTAACCTGCAAAGTTCCCAGCCTCAGGCTCCTTAGACTAAAATGAGGAAAGTCAGATAATGTCATTTTGAAGTACTGCCTGGCACATGGTAAGCATTCAGGTAATTGATGATCTTATATATTAGATTACAGAACAGCTACTATTATCCATGTTTTACATGTAAAGAAAATATCAAAAAGAGTGGCTATGGTGCCATATGCAAGAGCTGAGTTTTTATGTATAGGTCAGTTGAGGAGCTGTGAATCACAAGATCTCTCTCTACTCAAGCTTATGTAGGGGCCTGTAGAAATCACTTAAATAGAATCGTTCATTTCATAAAATAAACTAAGGCTTGGTCAGATCCTAATCCAAACCAAAATAGTAACAATGACATCCTCATTCAAATAATGTTTCATGTGTACAAGCCATGAAGCCAGGTTCCTTAGTCACTTTTTGAGCTATAGTCCATAGTCTGGGTGTAGTGAAAAAACCAAATTCCCAGGAAGTAGTAAAGATACCAAATTTTAATTGGTTTGTATTTTATAATATTTTTGGTAGGACTGGGGTTTGAATTCAAGGCTTGCACATTCAGAAAACCAAATGAGGCTGGAGGTGTAGCTTAGTGGCAGTTCCCTCTTCCAGCATGACAGAGACCAGGGGTTCCACACCCAGTGCTAAAACAACATAAAGAGAATGAAAGAAAACAGAAACGTAGGGTTAGTTCACGCCTATAATCTCAGCTACTTTGAAGGTGGAGATTAGGATGGTGATTCCAGCTAGGCAGGGGTGGCTATCATCTCACACACCATCTCATACACCAAAACTGGGTATGGTCATACTTCTGAATTTTGAAACATACTGGTCCGAAGGGCTTTAGGGTTAAAACTCTGCTCATGTGGAGTTATGAGAATCAAATTATCTAGTGTTTTATAAACTAGTTTGTTTTGTTAAATCGCTAGGACGTCAGCATTTTAAAAATCTCAATGAATATAAAGTCACTGAAATAAAATACTAAATTGGATTTCTTCAGAATTAAAAACTTTAGTGCATCAAGGGATACTATCAAGAGAATGAGAAAACAACCCCCAGAGTAGGAGAAAATATTTTAAATTATATGTCTAATAAGTGAGTAATACTCTGAACAAATAAAGAATGCCTACAACTGAACAGCAAACAAATAATTCAAAAATGAGGCAAGGACTTCAACAGACATTTCTCCAAAGATATATAAATGGCTAATAAACACATGAGAAGATGCTCAATCATTACCAAAATTCAAATAAAAAACATCAGATACTACTTTATACCCATTAATTTGGCAGTTTTTAAAAAAATTACATTCCTGCTCCAAAAAACGGAAATTAAGTGCCGACAAAAACAAAGAAGTGGAGAAAATGGAAGTCATGTGCATGGCTGATGGGAATATAAAATGGTACAGCCTCTGCAAAATATAACTTAGCAATTCTTCAAAGAGTTGAAAAGAATTACCACAATCCAGCAATTTCACTCCTAGGTTTAGGTCAAAAGAATTGAAAGCAGGGACACAAACAGATATTTGTACACCCATGCATCATTATTCATAATAGACAAAAAATGCCAACAACCCAAATGGTCAACAAGTGATTGCATAAACCAAGTGTGGCACATACACAAAATGGAATGTTATTCAGCCTTAAAAAGGAGTAAAGTTCTGATACATGCTACAACATGAACGAACCTGGAAAACATTATGCAAACACAAAGGACAAACACAATATGACACAATCACAAAAGAGACCTTGAGCAGGCAAAACTCACAGAGGAATAAAGAAGAGTGGTTACATAGGGATGAGGAAAGGGATAATGGAGTTTACTGATGAATGGGTATAGACTCTGAGTTTAAGATGCTAACGTTTGGCAGACAGAAAGTAGTGATGGTCATACAACATTGTAAATGTCACTGAATTACATAGTTAAAATGGTTAAAATACTAAGTTTTGTTATGTACAGTTTACCAAATTAAAAAAATCAAATATGAATTCGGTTCAAGTCAAAATCATTTTTCTATTATTTCCTCTTTAAAACATATAGCTTGCCATATAAACTATGGGAAATTCACATATACTTATTACGTAGCATGGAGGAATTAGTGACCTCTTAACCTCTCTACCTCTCCACTGGCAAATATCATTATTTCCGGAGTAAAAACACGCAGCAACCTTCCTTCCTTCTTCCCATAGGACATACTGCTTTCTACGAGTAAGTTCCACTCACTCAAAAGCAATCACTCTGTATTTACTTTCCAATTGATATATGAATTCTGAATAAAAATAAAATATTTTCACTGGGCACCAGTGGCTCATGTCTGTAATCCTACTTGGGAAGCCAAGATCAGGAGGATCAAGGTTCGAGGCCAGCCCCAGCAAATAGTTTACGAGACCCCATTTACAAAATAACCAGAGCAAAATTGACAGGAGGTACAGCTCAAGTGATAGAGCACCTGCTTTGCAAGCACAAAGCCCTGAAATTAAATGCCAGTCACACATACACAAAAAAAATTAATATTCTCAACTATAACAATATTTTGGTGAGATATTTTTACTCCTTTTTTAAGAAATTCAGCATAATTATTAAAGTAGTTAAACAGTATTTTACAAGTATAACATTTACAGGATCAAATTTACATAGAAAAAATTAAAGAATTATAAGCACAGTACAGGATTATCTCAAATGCAGACATGTAATTATAAGATAAAGATGAGATGAGATGAGAAGAAAAGGTCTAACAACAACAACCAAAAAATGCTTGTCTATTAAACTACAAAGGCAAGGCATGCAACTAGAGAGTATGGTCCTAAATCTATGAAAAGATTACATAGAAAACTATTAAACAAGAAATTGGGACTATTCACGAGTAATATCTTTTCTGGATAAGTAACTTAGAGGGTAAGATCCCCCTCTTTCCCTAAACTGTGTCTGTTCAAGGATGCTGGAAAATGATGAGCTGCACACCAGTGCGCATCAAGAAGGGTCTCATTGTGTTGTTTTAGCACAATTAAAATTTATTTATAGAATCTCCATGATATACCTATAAATATCAATATGTACACATACTGGGTAAATAACATGTACATATAAAAATACATCAAAATGTAAAGAGGAGGTATGTATGGATTGTGCAATTATGGAGCACTCTTATTTCCTATATTTTTATAGTTTACAAAATTTTCTTTAATAGTCAGAAACACTGCAAATAAGCATATTAAGCAAAACCAAAAACCAGAAAGACCCAATCTAAAAAATATAAACTTTACTACACAATAAAAATCTACCTACCACTTTCCTCAGATGAATTTTATTATCATCAGTTTGTATCCTACTGATTATGAAATATATTCCCAATTGAGCTGTTTGAAAAATTCCTCAGGCTCAAGAATCAAAATGAAAACCAAAAAACATGATTTTCAAGTTCTAACTTTGTTTTTCTAGATGAGAATGAGATGTCAATTTAACATAAATATAGCATCTAAATATAGCATTCCTTTTCTGGATAGATTACTCTGAATTTATAAAAAAACAAGAATAAAATATCATGAAACTTACAGGAAATCCTTTAGTGATTGGAATTTCAATATTAAAGATGAGGATTCGGGCTCTGAAACGAGTGCAAGCTTTAATGGGTTCTTTGGGGCCACAAAATATGCAGCCAACACTGTAACGACAGCAACCACAACAACAATGAGGGAAGGCAGATAGGGACAAAAAAATATACATCCAATAGGCATATCTTTAAACCCCTTATTAAACTACAATAATTAAGCAAATTGGAAACTTTTTTTAACTGCTCCCTTCTCAGTTGAAGCCTGGCTTTATACTTCACAGCTTTATTCCAAGAACATGCCAAGTTTGTGTGCTAATGGGTATTAATTCCAATTTTACATAACATTGGCTAAAAGTACAAGTGTCTATTTTGGGCCAAATAAGACTCTAAATTGAGCTAGTGGATTGCGAAATTCATGTGTTTTGCTGTCCTTTACCCTGAACAATAGTTGCTTAAACTCATTTTCTTACTCACTTGATTTTGATGATATCCATCCCAACTAAAGTAAGACTAACATGATCGCCTGCCGCCGCCCAATCGACAGGTTCATCATGCAGAGTGATTCCTGGAAATGAGTAAGAACCAAAGCATACAGTGAAACACTTCAATACTGAGCCATAACAACCAAGAGAGTTTGGCTGGTTTGTGCTTCATCAGTCACTACTCATCATTTTCAATTTGAATGGCTTGAGAATGAGAAGTGTTAACTGTGAGCGTTGAGGAAAACACACTTCCTCCAGACTTGACTCTTCTAGAACACCACAACATAAAGTGACTTGTATTTGTCCATAAAAGGCTGACTTCTGCTCATTTACACAATGAAACTATTGTCATTAAACAGAACCTATTAAAACATTTGTTATATTAATGTGTATAGGCATAATAAGCAGTTCAAATTATTCCCAATAACATACGAGACAGGACTGGAGAAGGCACCTAGTAGTATTTTATTCTCTTAAGCTTTGCTTTGATGTTTGTGCTATTGTTGTTGTTTAGGAATTTTTTTTTTGTTTTTTTGACACACGATCTCCCTACATAGCCCAAGCTGGCTTGAAACTGGATCCTCTTGCCTCAGCCTCCTGAATGCTAGGATTACAGGTGCGCACCACCACACCTGATGAGCTTTGCTTTTAATTAGACAACTACCCAAACAATATCCTATATTATCCAAGTAATCCATGGGACAACCCTGCTCAGTCAGAATTTCAAAAGATCTACCCAGGAAGCCCCTTAACTATTCATGTCTCAAAGAGAACCTCCTCTCAGAGAGAACTGTACACTGATAAGGGAAAGAGATTAAGGAAGCAGCAATAGGAAAATTGAACTTAAAAACTATCCCAGATGTGGCTATATACAGGGACATGCATTTATTTACCCAGAGACAATTGTGGAGAGAAGTTCACCAGGACTGTGCTCAGTTCCTTTTTCAAAGGCTTTTGAAAGATATCCTTTATTTTCTGATTTTATGGGTTAAATTATTAGTTAAGTTCCTTCCCATTGGAATTTGGGCTTTGTGATGAAGACAGTGCATAGACCTACCACTGTGGAATAGTCACTGACTAACATATATTCAATAAATTATAACTCACCCATATCCTTATGAAAATATACATTTTTCCTATACATCATACTCTTTCTTTTTTTTCCTCGAATGCAGCATACTCTTAAGGGACCAGTTCTGACCTTTAGGGAGCTCAGAAACTAAATCTGCTACAACCAAGTAGAAATTCCAAATCACTTATCAACATATCAAGTCCACAGAGAGTAGTAAAAAAAAAAAGTCTCATTTTGTAATGTCTGACCAATGAGAAAAATCCAGTAAGACAAAAATGGGACAGTGTAACATGGCTGGGGGAAAGAAGAACCAGAAAATAAAATTACCTTTGGAAAGCTTATATTGTTAATTGAACTGGTAATATGAAAGCCTTTCAAAATCTTACTCCAATCTCTATTGCATGTAAATAGCTACCTCTTGTTTTCAATCTCCATATTTCACAGCAAATATCAGATATGACCATTTAAAATTTAATTTACTGATTAAATTTAATTAGTTGACATTTGACAACATGTCTTTTTAAAATTTATTTTTAACGTTTTTCTCATTAAGACAGTCTCATTTTGTAGCCTAGGCTGACTTTGGATTTACTATGTAGTCCAGGCTGACCTTGAACTTGTAATTTCCTGTAACAGCATCCAGACTGTAAGTGCATACCACCACCCCTGACTTGACAAACATTTCTTAATATAATAACAGCTAGCATTTTTGGAGTCAAGAATCTGTTTTTTGTTTTTTTGGTGCGACTGGGGTTTGAACTCAGGTCTCCACACTTTCAAAGCAGGCATTCCACTGGTTGAGCCACACCTCCAGTCCATTTTGTTTGCTCTGGTTATTTGAAGATAGGGTCTCTCAAACTCTTTGCCCAGGCTGGCCTTGGATCGAGATCCATCCAATCTCAACCTCCCAAGTAGCTAAAATTACATTTTGTGAGCCACCAGTTTACTCCTGATGAAAGTTATGCCTTTTCTTTTCAGAGTAATGCTGGTATAAGCAGACATGAAATTTTGTATAATCCAGGAAACTGAGAAAAACCAACTGGGTCAGAACTGAGGACTGAGAACCTCCACTCTGTCAGGAGAGAAGTTCTCAGAAGCAGAGAGCTTCTTTTTGATGCTGCTCCTGGGGCTTCTCTTTTAAGAACCACTGATGAGAGAGGTTCTCTGTGGAGAAGAGTAAAGAATACAGGACTTTCAGAGATGACCAAATAAGGATTTTAGAAGTCACAAGGGAGGCCATCTTAAGATCTGTGATAACTTTGGGATCATGGTCTCAATTCAAAGCTGCTAATTATACTAAAAAATTCTTATTCTCAAAAAAAGCTCATTAGCTTACAGAGGAATCAGTACTTCAAAAGTATTGAAGCTCTTAATTACTTTTAAAAACAAAAACAGAACTGCTCTTGCAAACTATACAACCATGAAAAATGCCTTTTTAAAGTACATATTACTTTTTATCTAAAAAGAAATTTCATGATCCCTAGCAGGTACACAGAAAAAGGTCAAATGGAAATGCTTGTTTTCATTTACTTACTCACTTTTAAATGTAGGTTAAACATACCACATAAACAGATAATCATTAATTTCTTATAATCATGATATTTGGCTGGGTGTGGTAGTAGATGCCTGTTGGAGCCTGAGGCAGGAGGATCATGAGTCTGAGGCCAGCACAGCAATACTCTTTTCTCGAGAAAAACAAGGACTGAGGATATAGTTCAGTGGTAGAGTACTTGCCTAGGAATGTACAGACTCTGGGTTCAATACCCAGCACTATCAAACAAAAAAATCTGCCTTTAAATTGAGCAAATTAAACAAAATGTATATTCAAATTTATAAACTACTCAGGTGCAACACTGGATATGAACTAAACAACAACAGAGGGAAGTACTAAAGAGTTTCATTCAGCTTAATATTGTTACAAATAATACTAACTTCATAGTATAAAACATTATCAGTTTTATATTGATGTCATAGACTTAGTTGGAAGTCAGATTATAAGGATAGAACTGTGAACTTTTTAAACAAAATTAGGAAAAGAACAATACCTACACACATAAAGCTAAATGGTTAGAAGACAGCAATAGTTACTGACCATCATCAAAAAACACACACATAAGATCTCTGTGCAAAAACAGTACTGTGGCAATTTAAACCAGCTCTAGGGCTGGTAGAATGGCTCAAATGGTACACCTCCTGCTTAGCAAGTGTGAGATCCTCAGTTTAAATCACTACGACCAAAAAAAGAAAAAGAAACCAGCTCCATTTCTCTTTTAGAGGTTTTTTAGGTTTTGCTGTGTTTGCATATTACTTAGGTCTTCCAATAATACAGATATAACGTGTGTGTGTGTGTGTGTGTGTGTGTGTGTGTGTGTGTAAGTACATATACACATAAATGTGACCAAAGCTGCTAACTTATTCTGAAGCACAATTTTCAAAATGACAGATCATCTGCTTTGCCACTGACTGGTAGATTAGATTCAGATTTAGCTTCTTCTACAGAATATGATTTCAAATGTGTTTGTCAGGTGTCTACACACCTGGTTCAGTCCTAACCAGGCTTCTTGAATCAGTGCCAAAAACAGAATACTACCACAGTTAGAATGTTATATGTACATATATACATACAGAGTCACAACTGAAGAAAATCGTTTAATGTTTTTACATTTTAATCTTCAACAGTTAGTATCATTTTGACAGTCAGTTACAATTTCAGTAAGAGGTTATTTACTTTGGAGTTATAACTAAACTACTTTTTAAAAAAATATGCTGTCTCAAGGCTTGTTTAGCAAAAGAACCTTGAAGATGAATACCTTTCGTAGTACAAGTTTCGTTAGGAGGCATTGCTAGCAGTCGGTCACCAGTCTGAATATAACCAGCTTCAATTTTACCAGTCACACAAAATCCAGATCCTTGATCTGCAAAACATACCAAACTCTTGTAGTTTATGTACCAATGTTATCTGATGATTACTACTGGCATATTTAGTCCTGCAGTTATAAAACCAATAATTCAATGAGTATTCTACTAAATATGGCATAACACATTCTAATTGTTTTCTTACAGATAAAATATTCATATTATAGGAAGCAGAGGTTCATTTCTTTTTCAAATATTTATGGAGTGATTACTGAATACTAGGTACACTATTAAACTTTGGGGGATAAGAGATATAAACAGAAATCAATACCTGTAAGAAATTTACACAAGTGAAGAGAAAGACAAAAACAATTACGTTGAACTGAGACAAATGCTACTTAAAATAAGCAGGAAAAGGTGCATCTAATAACTCATGATGGTCTCTGGGGGTGTAACTCAGGAGCAGAGCACTTGTGCAGCATATGCAAGTTCCTGGGTTCTATCCCCAGCACTAACACTAGATAAATAAATTAATTAATTAAATAATCCATGTTGGTTACAATGTACACTTTACCCAGGCATTCTGAAGGAGCAGGAATAGAAATTTAGCAGGTAGTTAGTGTATGGGTTGGGAAAGACTGAAGACTGTTCATCCAGGAAACTTCATGTGCAAAGCCAAAACTGAATGAGGGATGTGCTAAGAGCCATGCATTATTTGGGAGCAGGAAGAGGGGTGGGGTGGATATGAAATAATGAAGGAAAGGGAAGATGTGAGACAAGAGGTGGGCAAGGCAGAAATAATAAAGTGGCATCATAAATGACACTTAAGGTTTGACTTTTATCCGTCAGTAAAGTAATAGAAAGCCAATAAAGAATCGTGAACAGAGGAGTGACATGATGGCATTTCTGTGTTAAGAGTGGATGCTTGATGGAAATGCACAGGGTGAATTCAAATTTTGGGAATGAAGAATAACAAGTTTAGAGTAAAATGTAAGTGAAGGATAGTAGGAAAAGGGAGAGATCCAAGTTGGTGCATTGACTAGGAGACAGAAAATTAAGGAACATGATCCACTCTAGCACTGGCAAATTTCAAGTGTCTATGAAATATAGGCAGCAAAGCTGCATTCCAGAAGTGCCAATCATGCCACATTCCATGAGCACAGCACCCCAGGAGTCCACTCCTTAGGCATAAGTCCAGTAGCAGTAAGGTGTATATGTGTGGAGGGCAGGAGAGCCCTGGGTTGGAGATCAGATTTGGGAAGCATCTCTACCAGCATCAGAGGAATCGCCACCTTTAAGTAGGGTAGAAGTAAGATAGAATGGAAAGTATGTATCAACTCTGGCAAACAGGATGTTACTTGGTGACCTCAGCAGGACTGCACTGAGAGGAGCACAGTAGGCAAAACCCAGAAAGCAGCCTCAAGACAGAGTAAGAGGTGAGAATGTAGTCAGCAGACGTCAGTTAAAAGAAAGTAACTGCCCTTGCATTTTAACTAGATAATAGGTATTTTGGAAACCATTTCCACATTCCCTCTACCACTAGAATACTGGACGTTAATAATGGTAATGATACACTTCTGTTTCATTCCATCATTTGCCCTCAAGGGGTTCAGATGGAGTAAACAGCACAGAAACAGTAGAGGGATGCCTTGGGGAATATGTGGGTGAGCATGTCAGTTATGAGCTTATTGCTCAGTTCCAATTCCACTTGTCATTGTCTACTCTGTGATGATGGAGATTTGGGGGAACTGACATCTTTACAGTATTGATTATTCCGATACAAATGTTATATCCTCTAATTTACTGAGATCTTTTATTCGATTTCCACTTGATGGTTTTCTAGACAGGATTTTATACACATCGAGTTAGATATGCTTAGGTATTTAACACAATACTTTCTCCAATAGGGTCTGAGCCTCTTCCTGTTTATCCTTCCTCAGCCCTAGGGTACCATATAGGGTTTCTTGATATCATATAGCTACTCTTTTATCAGTTAATAATTCTAGATATTAAATTTCACATTTTATCTATGAGTGATATTTATCTCCCACCTAGACTGTCTCAGATGAGTAGGAAATGGGCAAGTAAAGAGAAAGAATACCTAAACATGGAAACATGGGTTGACATAGCAGCAATACAGGTCCTAGGTTGTTGAGAGACAGTTAATGATCTAGTTTGGCTAGAGGATATGGAAACTGAAGGGATCTAATGGGAAAATAAAAACTATAAAGGATAAGATTTTCTTAGACCTGACAGGTGGAGTATGAGATGAAAAATGGTGAGCAAATTGAAGGGTTTTCTAGATAAGGGAGCTAAGTGATTAGAACTGTGCATTTTAAGATTAATTTGAGGGCTGAGGGTGTAGCTCAGTGGTAGAGCGCTTGCCTGGCATGCATGAGGGGCCCTGGGCCCCATCCCCAGCACAGCAAAAAAGAAAAAAAAAGTTAAGATTACTTTGTCACTGGTCTTTACATTGAAGTGGAAAAGTGAAAATGGGAGATCAGTACAGTAACTTAGTCCAGGAAAGGAAGACAGAAAAAAGGAAAGGAAGGAAGCCAGGGAGAAGACACTCTAAAGAGGCAGCACTTACCTTTGAAGACATCTGACACACATAATCTAAAAGGCTTGTCAATAGATCGCTGAGGAGACTTAAAAGAATCTGGAAGAAAACAGCAAAAGTAAGGTATAATTTAATAAGCGCAGTGGAGGGGTAGCACAGTGGTAGCTTAGCATGTGCAAGACCCTGCGTTCAATTCCTAGCACTTAAAAAAAAGTTTTCACTCACTCCAATGAATCCACCATTATAGCACTACTTCTATAAAATCATTATATTTTATAAATACTAATAAGTAGTAAATGACTGCTATTCATATAATACTTTGCATTTGTAAAATGTATTTCCCACGTTAGCTCACTTAATTTCAACCAGTAGAGCAGGCTTAAGTTTCACTAATTAAGATGAGGAAAACTGACTATTAGTTTAAATATTACACTGATTTCAAAACTGATAACCTACTTCCTCTAACTACAAATCCTATGCTTTCTCATACATATTGAAGTCTCTCATAAAGAACACCAAGTAATTCTTAGTATCGCGTTTATAATGCATGCAAATTAGAATGGCCACATACTTACCAATGTGTTCTAATAAGCATACACCTTTATACCACTCTGTGAGTTCACTTGACTGCGACCTTGTGATTAGATTTTCACCACTGAGACCACTTGTAGGGATAAAAGCTACATCACTCTCCTATTAAAAAAATTGAATATATGAAACTCAGTATAACACTGTTTAAACAAAAAGTTAATATTTATCATTACCATAACTGCAACAAGTTTGCAAAAGTAACAACATACTTTTACAAACAGAAATCTCAGAACTACAGCTCTGAGGTTATCCAATTCAATACTTTCCCATTTTCTTAAGTAATTAATTAATTTATTTATTTCTTTTGCAGTGCTGGGGTTTGAACTCAGGATTTCATGCTTGCAAAGCAGGCACTCTGCTCCTTGAATCACACCCCCAATCCATCAGTTTTTTTGACTTTGTGGGAAACTTGCATAATGACTCCAAAATACTCAAGCATTTTTACCTGGTAATACAGGCATATTACAGATTTTTGCTGGAGAAATTATTTTCTACCAACTGTTCTGTGACCTCCCTAAACTCACACTATCTAGTACAACAGATGTGTGTAGGGGGTGGGGAGACTTTTACTAATATAAAATCCAAGCCAAATATTCAACATATGTAATTTTCTAAAGCGAAGTAATCCAAAGAATATATTCCGTACAAATATCAAGAGGAAATAAAAAGCAAAAAGTGTTAATCATACTTAAGACAAGAATATTAATATACTAGTTTTTTCCTCATATCAGTAAAATGACTTAGAAAAATAACCAAATAAATTTAAAATTATCATACCTTAAAACCTGCTTGCTTAAGAAAGTGCCCAAGTTTTCCAGTAATCTCTTGAAATCTTTCTTGCTGCCAGTTAACCTGATAAAGATCCAATTTATATTTAGAATTACACTTGAAACATGAAATATAAAATTTAAACCTCTGCAATATAATTAAGACTATGTTAAATATAAGTATGAAATCTATTAACAATTAAAACTCAGAGAATATAAGCTCTTACCATTAATATGGCCTAAAATTAATTTTTCCTAAAACAAAAAGTCTACAATCACTAACACATCCAGAACTTTTTATATATGCTAAAAGTAATTTCAAATTTGGGGAGAAAAGTGAGTAATTTATTAAAGTTTGTATCAACTGTTGGAATAAAATAATTGAAACCTACCACAGCCAAACAGACTAAGAAGATATATGTAATATTTGGGTTTCAATGTACTAATGTCTGAAATTTATGTGAAAACACATATCAAATAAGACGGATTAATGACTGGATAAAAATGTAGATACACGGAGAAAAATGTGATCAAGGAAGTAGTAGAGTCTTGAGTATTAGGCACAAATATGGGTGTTTACTATAAAATTTTTTCAACTTTCCTCTACATTTAAATTTTTCATATTAAAATGCTAGGGAAAAAGTTAAATTTATATATAATAAGGATACTATAAAAGAACTAACAGAAAATATAGGTAAAAAGAAAACCTAAACACAAAAAAAGAAATATTTATATATCTAAATATATATCCAAATAAAAAATAATCAAGTTATAGAAACAATTTCTAAAGGAAAGACATATTTTAGTATTATTAATATTCATAGAACAATGCAATTTTTAAAAAAGAAAGATCATGGGGTTTTTTTGCTTTTTTTTTTTTTTTTTTTTTTTTTTTTTTGGTGGTACTAGGGGCTGAATTCAGGGTTTCATGCTTGCTAGGTGAGCACTCTACCGTTTGACCCATGTGCCCAGTCTAGGAAGATTACATTTTACATGTCAAATTAAAAAATAATTTTTAATAACAGTCTTGATAGGAGTTTGGGAAAGTGCCTAGAGTAATAAACAGAACACTTTCAAAGGCATTTGGATCACGTTCAGCAAGTCTTATAAGATACATGCCTTTAGGCCCAGAAATTTCCACAGAACAAAGCATTTCTAAATACATACACACATACACGTGAACAAGTAGAAATTTTCAAAAGTGGGGGACTGTTTGGGATAAATCATATCACTAAAACAGACTAGAATAAAGCCATAAAAATCTTTGGAAACAAGAATATTGTGAAGAAAAAGATTCTTATCTATAAAAATAAATTGTATGGATGTACAAAATGAGATAGAGTTATAATATAAATGTACATTATTTTGCACTTAAAAATAATTTTTAAGCTTTTAAGTTTTGAAATAAGTTTTTTTGCTTAAAATTACTAATATTAAGTAAAATTTATTTAACATATGGATAGCAAATTTATCTCTAAAAATACATCAACTTAAGTAACAAAATATACACATATACTATGTGGCAAAATAATATCTTAATCAGCACATTACATACCTGATCCATCTTATTGACTGCAACTGCAAGCTGTGTCACTCCAAGAGATCGGACCAGAAGGCCATGCTCTCGTGTTTGTCCACCAGTCTCAAACCCAGCTTCAAACTCTCCCCTGCTGGCATCCACAACTAAAACAGCTACGTCTGCCTGAGGGGGCAAAAAAAATCAAAACTGGAAATAATGCCACACTACTTTAATTCAAAGGACAGATAACTATTTGGTTTAAACACCAAAGCAACTGAAAAAAAAAAAAAGAATCCCAGATGGATTAAAGAGTTTGACTAAAAAATATATACTAGTACATACTCACATGACACCAAAAAATAAAGTCTTAAAGAACAATAAGAAAGTCCATACCTGATTACATAACAATTAAAATATCTAGGCAAAGGGGGAAAATGTGTAATAAAATTAAAACGTAAAGAAAGAGGGACAAACATTCTCAGCATCTAAAGTAAGAGCAATGTAGTCTTTACCAAAAAAAGAAAAAAGAAGAAAAATTAAAAGTCATAGCTCCATAGAATGCTAATTAAGATACAAACAAGCAATTTACTAAATATAAAGGACCAGCCATGAAAAAATTCAATTTATTAGAATCAAAAAGAAAAAGAAAAAGGAAATTAAAAAACACTAACATACTCCCCTGTTCTGTTTTTATAAGTTGATGTGTTAAAGATTTAAAAGACTTTTTTTTTTTTTTAAATACTATAAGCAATGGGCTGAGCACTCTCATACACTTACAGGACTAAGTCCACAATCTTCTTGAGGACATTTTTACAGTAACCCTATAATTATTCACATTTTGTTTCCCATGAATTCCACCTCTAGGAATTTATCCTAGAGAAATAATTATTATTCTACAAAGAAATTAATCAGAATACCATTGATGATACAAACTTACAAATAAATGAATTATCAAAAGACACCACGTTCAACCTCTACAGCTATTGAAAAAGCTTGTACAACAAATTACACAAATTTCTCTCACCTTCATGAACCATTTTGTGAATCAGAAAGACATTTCTCCTCTCATACAGGAGCAAGCTTTTTTCTCTCACTCCTGGTTATTACTGAACCTAACTGGGGCAAACTTGGGGCAACTGGAGATTTGGAAAAGATATAGGATAGACAGACAGACAGAAAGTAGGGTCAGGTGTGTTGGGCACTCTGGTGGAGATGCACAACCCTCATTGCTTCTTTTCTCTACGTTTATTCTTTAAGGCCTTACTCCTTTACAGTTCTTTAAAACCTTGCTTCTAAAGACTTCTTTCAAACCTTGCTTCAAATCTCTTTCCTTAGACTCACCCTGTCCCATGTTTCCTCTTAGCTGTTCTTTAGCATAATCTCTCAAAGACTTTGCCCCCAGAGTTGCACTGTCTCTTTAGCTTTCTTAAAGCCTGGATGCTCAGACTTGCAAACAGCTGCGCCTAAAATCCGCATGTGCATAACTCTTAAAGTCTGGATCCTTAGACTTGCACTATCCCATGTTCTTTCTAACTTTTCTTTAGCTTAGCTTTTCTAAAGCCTATGTGTAAAGTTCTCAGTGCAGACTTGCACTGTCCCATGTTCTCTCTTTAGCTTTCTTAGTCTCAGCCCTCAGGCTTGCTGGCAATTAATTCCCCTTTAGCAATTCTTTTCCCTTCAGCAATTCTTTTCCCTTCCAAAAGCCTCCCACATCAAAAAGCCAAAAGCCCAAACACCTTTTCCATCAAAAACCCAAAAAGCAAAAGCCTTGCATCCTCCTTCAGCAAGTGTTTTATAGCCAGTGGTAAACAGGGTGGAGCATCAGTTCTCCCGGAAGAGCGTGACATTGTAACAAAGACGTTACAACTTAGGCGAACCAGCTGTCTTCTGTGGCTAGGGCTGTGCCTACCTCAGCCTACAGATAAAAGCTGTTGAGCTGCATCTCGCCTTCCTTATACCCAGTTCTCATAGTCTTCTCATAGTCCGTTCTCTACATCATACTTAAATAACATGCCAAAAACATAGGAAGAAAAAAAGCTAATGTTTAGTTAGCTTGTTTTCCTTGTTAGCCTCATTGAAATGAGTTTTGCATGTTCCCCGTTTTTTTGTGTGTGTTGATGGTTCTTTATGTGATTCTACTTGCATCTGGTGGATCAGACTATACAACTTTGCAATAGTTTGTGCAACCATACATGTTCCTCCATGTCCATTCCTATCAAGTATTTCTGTCAAGGCACTGTCAGGACATTTGCAAAAGAATGTTCATGTTCCCTTTCACAGTACATACCTCTTCTCAAAAAACATCTGCTTTTCTAACGGGATGTAGTAGCACACAGCTGTAATCCCAGCTACTCAGGAGAGAGAGACAGGAGGACCAAGAGTTCAAGGCTCACCTGGGCAATGTTAGTAAGATGCTATATCAAAAACAAAATGCAAGCGAAGGAGTTCAGGTGTGGCACAAGTGGCTGAGCACTTGCCCAGCAGATGTGAAGCACAGGTCACAATGACTAAATGCCATTGCATTTCTGTCCTTAGCTATCTCAGACTGAGATAGTTCTCTGATATTCCATCCACATCATTAAGTGCTCCAGCCTCCTGGTCAGAACACAGTTCACAACAGCTTATGTCTCTGTTGCTTCCTCAATGACAGTGTATTTGTTCTACTTAGTTTGTAAAGAATTTCACATACATGATCTCATATGAAATGGTCGCAAAATAAGTAAAGATACTATGCTCTAGCAGAACTTTATGATTTGAATTACAAGCAGCATCTGTATGCTTTGTCTTGTGGGGCAATCTGCAATATTCTTTTTCTTCTTACTCCCAAAAATTCCTTCTGCTTTAATTCTACTCTGAAATGCAGCATTTATTTTTAATCCTTCATGACTTGAGGTGCTGTACTCTAGTTTCAGTAAGATCCAGTTTTTTTGATCAAAGATTCTTAGTGAACAGTATAAACAGGAGCAATTTGAACACTGGCTTCTTCACTCATATTGCAGTCACTAACAGGTCTCATACTTCAGGCAAGTTGCCAATTTTCTCTAGGTTATTAATTCACTTACTTCAAAGAAACAGCAAGCGACTGTGGGGGAAGGAGTAGTTTATATAAAGCACGCATCTCTGAACTTGCAAATCCCATGCTTGATAATAGTAATCTCTTTCTCATCAGGTTTTCTAATAACTACAGAATTTGCCTTCTTAGGTTAAAATGCAAAATTCATTGAAATGGTATTAAGACAACTAATGCTGTAAGTGTTCCACCTAGTCCTCTTTCCTTTTAATCTCCAAAAAATTGCTAGGCAATTTATCTGGCTTTTGGGAGCTCAAAGGTCTATACATTTTCAATACAATGGAATTTTTAGCAATTCAACTATATAATCTCTAAAATATTCTCCTATCCTGATTCCATATGGAGTTTGGAATAAGTGGTCTTTATGACAACTCTGGACTTCCAGGTTCTAGAATTCAAAACCATTTAATTATAACTGATTTTTTTTTCTCACATTTGTCTCTTCCATTAAGCTATGAAAATGTGCTCTGTATGAAATGTGCTCTGTAGTTACTGCATCCCACACTGCCTCCCAGAGTACGTGGCACATAGCAGACATTCAGTAAGTATTCACTGAGTGAAAATTAGAAAAAGAGAGGGAGGCAGGGAGGGAGAAGTTCATAGAAAGAAAGAAAGGAGGAAATTTATACTGTATCCTTTGATAAATGCAATGAGGATAATATACTCCTCATAGGCATATTATGGAGATAGGTATTAAAATAGGGGAAATATAAAATAAAAAAAATAAGGGAAATAAAAAGTAGGTATTAAAATAGAGTTCTTATAAGTGTTATAGTATACTGAATGCATACTTAACACCTAGCATAGTGTCTTGCCAATATTAGGTACTAAGTCAATAGTGGTCAATTATCATATTTCAATCTTTTATAACATTTGGTCCATGAAATCTTAATATGCTAAATTATACATTAGCTTTCTAAAATGGAATCAAATTAATTTCTTATTTATCTTTGAATATGTTCTAATCTATTCGTATAATAGCCCTTTTAGGTTGACAAATGCTCCTATTTCCCATTACCTTTCAATGGGTGGAAACCTGAAAGTGGTAATGTGCTTAAAGTTATTGACATAGCCAAATTTTTTAACTCTTCTCATGTTTTCCAATAATCATCCCTTATGAAAGAAATCAATACCCTATATATGCAGAGCTATTTTCATTGTCGTAATTACTTAAAGTAATACATCCTTGATATTTTTTCAGTATCCTTATTAAGAATCATGTAAGTTTACAAATTGCAATTACTTCTCAATCCTTAAAGAAAGTAAGTAAAACCTGAACTGCCCTCAGTATAGGAGGCAGTTTCAGTTGCCACACCAGTGAGGACTGAGAGCTGTCCATGTGTTAGCGAGTTTCCCAATCCTTACAGGTGAGAAATGGTGGTTGTAGGCCTCTAATTTGCATTTCTTTCTTTTATTAATGACCAAACGTTAACAACAATTTTTAAAAATAAATAAATGGAGCATGAATCCCAAGTTTATTATTTCTGCATAAATTAGGTCTTTTAAAAATATAGGACTTCAATATAGAGTAATAAGGCAGACCTTGAAATAGTCACTTCATCTTGGTAATAAATTAAATATAAGGCTATCCTTAAAGTGCTTTACCATTATTTTTAAACAACAAAAAATTCATAGCTTTTAAACATTTGTTTGTTTGGTTTTTGGCAGTACTGAGCTTTGAACTCCAAACTTCTGGCTTGCTAGGCAAGCTCTACCACTTGAGCCACACCCCCAGCCCTTTATTGCTCTGGTAATTTCTGAGCTAGGGTCTTATCTTCTGCCCAGGCCAGGCTGGACTATGATCCTCTTATTTTGCACTTTCATGGTAGCTGGGATGATGACAGGTGCATGCCACTGCACCCAGCTTTTTCTGTTGAGATGAGGTCTCAAAAACTTTTTTGCCTGGGCTGACTAGAATCACTATCCTCCCATCTCAGCCTCCCAAAGTAGCTAGAATTACAGGAATGAGCTAAAGTCCTAGAATTAAAACCTCAGCATCAAGAAATTTATGTCAAATCAGGGCTCTCTTTCTCTATATATACATATTTAAGGAAATATCTGGTACCTGGGCTGCTCCTGTAATCATATTTGGAATGAAATCCTTATGGCCTGGAGCATCCATTAATGTAATAACTTTGGTTGTAGTTTCAAACTTTGTCATACCAACATCCATTGTTACTCCCCTTTAAAAAAAAAACAAAATGGTTAGAATGTACTATGTAAACAGACAGTGATATGGGTTAAATTATTTAGTAACAGGCTAAATGACAATGTAAATTCTTTAGCAATAATGGGAACTTTATTATATATTTATTTTTAATAATTAAGCTATCACAATTGGTGCTAGAACGTCTACTATAATAGAATTACAACTGTATGGATTTAAAACATTGTCGATGCAGCAAGAACTCAATCAAAATGATAAATACATATCATTTCCTCAATTTTTTGTAAGAAAGAGTGTAAACTGTAAACAAATAAAGATATACTGAGACTCTAGATGGAAGAAAAATTATGCTGCACATGAAAAAAGGATTAAATGAAAAATGATCACAACCAAAAGGTAGTTTTCCTCATGTTCCATGTTTATGCCTCATTAACTACAGAAATAAATTACAAAACTTTCACTTGCAAAGTTGGTCAGTGTGTTACATTTAGAAAACAGAAGATGTCAGAAGTATCCAACTGTTTAAAAAAAAAAAAAAAAACAGACAGGGCTGGGCACTGGTGGCTGTACCTAAAATCCTAACTACTTGAGAGGCTGAGACTGGGAGGATGTAGGTTCATAAGACCCCATCTCTAAAAAGTAACCAGAGTAAAATGAACTGAAAGTGTGACTCAAGCAGCAGAGTGCCTGCTTTGCAAGCACAAAGCCCTGAGTTCAAACCCAAGTGAATGAGTGAATGAATGAATAAATAAATCAATGAATAAACTAAAAGAGATAAACAGAAGCTTGCTTCATACTTCATTTCATCCTTCTTGGAGACCAACACAGTACCTTTTTTCAGACACAAAAAGGAACACTCAGATTACAATAAAGCCCAAGAAAGGTCTACAAGAACACTGTCATTCTAGACCTCGGGAATTTAAAAGGTCACATCACATGGGAAACAAACTAGGTTTGCCTCAGGATCACTTAAAGTAATAAATACGAGTCTTAACAATTAGAATGATAAACTAGTTTTACACTAGCAGTAAGATAGCTGTGGGTCTCCTCAGTCAAGCCATTTAAGTTTAATTTGAAGCCATAGCCATTTCAGTACATGAAAGGGACATTTAATTCACTTTAATAATCTCCAACCATAGGCACCTTCAGAATAGTGCAGGTCAAAGACTTATTCTGAGCTCCTCCCCAGACCATTTAATTCAACTGTATTTTTTTGATTCAGCTCTGGTGTGGAACTGTAACCTTAAGGATATTAGAGTGTCACCCAGTTTATTAATTTCTGTTCAACATCTAGGAAGAACAGAAGATTTACAAATATTTGATATGGTGAGGGTAAGCAACATGTTATTTTGTTGAATGCTATTTAGGAACATATAGTGAGATGAGCTAAAACTTCTACTACATATCTAGAAGCTTCTGCTATGTACAGAATAATAGTCTGATAATTATACCAGGGTGAGCAATAGAGAACTAGCAGCAAAATAAAATAAAAATGACAACCAATCAGCAGACATAGTATCCAAAAAATTAAAATGACTGATCATTATAGGAACAAATAGGTTATTAGCTCACTTGTCAGTAAGTAAATTTAAGCAAGACATTCTAATTTAGATTACATTCTTCTCAAACTCTTTATCTACTAGATGACACAAAGAAAACTAAAAGGACATATTCTTTAATAATCTGCTTGTTAAGTGAATAGGTGGAAATTATTTAGTCTTCTAATGTTCATATCATATACAGTTTCAATACACAGTTCCACTGTTTTCCAAAATATGGCAAGTATCCAGCTAATTTTTCTTAGTATGGTAGAAAACAGGTTTGCAATATGATAAAGTTAAAAAGACACAAGGAAATCTAAGGCCACTGATAGAAATTCCTGCTTATTGGAAGAGCTAAGGAATATTGTACCTGATTTACTGAGAATTGCCTTATATATTATGATGTACACTAAGACTGCAAAAAAAATAACTTACACAAAAAAGCATGAAAATTCAGATAGATTCTCTAATCATATTCAGATTAAAAAAGGCATCAGGGAACACGATTTAATCTCTTTGTTAATTCAGAAGGACTTTCACAGGACTTCACAGGTGTTAAGTCCTTATTTTGACACAATTGGTGTATCTGTCATTTCACTTTATTAAGGTGTCCTTTGCTCTCCCATCCCTAAGATGATGATATCACCACTCTAAAGACTTGGCAGAGTGGCTCAAGTGCTAAAAGTGCTGCCTAGCAAGCAACCTGAGTTCAAACTTCAGTACCTCCAAAAAGGAAGGGAGGAAGGGAGGAAGGGAGGAAAGGAGGAAGGGGGGGGAAGAGGAGAGGGAGCGGGAGAAGGAGAGAGAGAAAGAGAGAAAAAAAGAAAAGGAAAGAAAGAGAGAGAAAGAGAAAGAGAGAAAAAAAGAAAAGGAAAGAAAGAGAGAAAAAGAAAGAAAGAAAGGTTGTTCTTTAGTCAGAGATATATGAATATCTAGATTCTCCTGCTAGAAACCCTCCACAGTTAGCATTAAACACCAAAACAGACAGAGGAGGAATAAATGACTAGATTCTATCAATATGGTAAGATACAGGTTTAATTCTTTCTTTTTTTTGACTCTTTTATAAAGTATAAAAATGAATTAAGTCTAGTATTCTGGATTCACTGGTCATTCTGAATCTAGATAGAAAAAAATCTATTACAGTTACCTTTCCTTTAAAACCTGATAGGAAGACTCTCATAAGCCACATCTGTCATCCCAGCACTCCAGAGGCTGAGGCAGAAGTATCTCAAGACCATATTGGGCTACATAGCGAGACTGCTTTAAAAAAATCAAAAACAGTAACAAAAAAATCTTACTCATAACCTTTAACTCAAAATCAAGGCAATTTGACACACTCTTAAGGGCAATGATAACCGAAACTCCTCCCAATGAAGCTTTAGGGTACTTCTGCTTCTTTCTGTGTGGTGTTTTCATTTTGTTTTTGATAAACATTCTTTTCATTTATCCTCACAAAATTTAAAAGAGGAAAAAAGTATGTAATTACAATTAGCAAAACAATAAAAATATTTCCTTGATAATTAAAAGCTAGTCTCTAAAGCATTTCATGTTATTTTTACATATTCAATACATATTACATGCTTATTATAAAGGACTGTCATTTCAAACTGAAAATTGAAATATAGACTACCTTTCTCTTTCTTCACCAGTCTCATCCAAGACCCATGCATATGCAAATGAAGCTTTCCCAGCCTTTTTGGACTCCTGCTCATATTTATGCATAGTTCTTTTGTTTACATTACCCAGAAGGTAAAGCAGGTGGCCCATGAGAGTACTTTTCCCAGCATCAACATGACCTAAGGAAAATTGAGTCAGGATTAATACTAGGTTCATTTCCAGACGTGGTTCACAAAGAGGCACTTTGTGAATGTATAATTCAGTAGTTCAGGTCAGTGTTTATAAAATGACAGTTAAAATATCTAAACAGAAAATAAAATATACCTCTTCAGAGGGGTAAAATTTCCTTTATTTTTGAAATACATGCTATTTTCAAAATGTTCACAAAATGAGTATACCACAAACCAGATCTAATGACCTTGGTAACTTGGCATCGTTCACCCAAGGTGTCCTAGAAAGCATTATGATGCAATGCCCCCTTGCTTTATGTCTATTACGCCCACATAGGAACTCAGTTTCCATGCTGCCCCTAGAAGCTGTCAGGCTAAGGCAGACTGACCGAAGCTTCCCAGGACACACAGCTTACCAATGACCACTAGGTTGAGGAGCTGCTTCCCGCCTTGCCGCCTCTCCAATTCCGCTTTTACATCTATCTGCTGTCTCAACTTGCCAGACCTTTTCAGTGGTGTTGGAGTGGAACCTGGTTCTTCTGACACTTGAATGGAGTGAGGAGGAATAGCTGATTTAGAAATGGTTTCAAGAACATCAGAAGAAACAATGCTGGTATCTTCACCAAGAGGTCCTTTTTGAGGTGTGTGGAAACTATGACTATTTTCTTCAGAAGTTATCCTACAGAAAGCAGACAGGAAAGAATTGTTTAAAAGAAACGCAAGTGATGATCTATAGTGTCAGAAGGGCAGAGAATGTCTCCTCATAACCCTTTACTCTCCTAGCCAAAAATGATCTCTGCTAAGTGGCTACCACCTACTATAATAGAAATGATAAGCAGCCAGACCAATCCACACAAACACAGGCTTGAGTACCCACAAAAAAAACTACCAAAAATTAAAATAAAGCCAGACATGGTGGTGCACAACTGAAAACCCAACACTAAGGAGGCTTAGGCAGGAGGATCATGAATTTGAGGCCATCCAGAGCTACATAGACAGATTCTGTATCAAGAAAAAAAAAAAAACTAAGATAAAAATATATCTTGTAAATTAAGTCCAAAGCCCATAATAATTTCAAAGCCAAAGTAAGTTCAAAGTCCAAGTCCACAGCTTTGGCCATGTAACCAATTCTATCAAAATGGATAGCATAAAGAAGATGTTTTTTAAAAAATCATACCAATGTGTTACTGGAGATAAATAACTCAGTATAAAAATTCATTTTACCACAAACAACCTTTGAACAGCACAGACTATGATCTTTTTTGCTCAACTACTAATCTTAAGTGAAATATCTCTAAATATCTACAGTTTCTTTATATTTTTGACAATACAGCCTTAATTTATTATCAACAGGTTTGATTTACTAAAAACTACAACATATCCTAGGCAGTGATGTTGAAAAGAACAAAAAGATATAGAAATGAAATAATTACCTACCATTCCCAAAGGCTATAATTGAGTGAGAGCCTCAGATATAAAGTAGAAACAAGACCACCTCATTTAACTCATCCTCTCTGTGACAATGACAGTGACTCCAAAAGTACTCACTGATCTTAGTGCTCCATGAGCTCTGTGACTACACTGCTAGCCTCATATGGCTATACAGAATGTGACCTAATCAAGCAGATTAGACTCTGCCTTGCGTTACCTTTAACAACTACAAACAAACAGAATTAGGACAAAAAAAGCAGGATAAACTGCGAGTTCTTAAGAATAAAGTCAACTACATAGAACTTAACATAAAGTTGGCAGAAAGGAACTGCAAACACCAATCATCTAAGATTGAAGTGCAGTGGAGATGTGTAAAGAGAGTACATCTATTTCCTTCTTGCCCATTGCTACAAAAATTCAGATCAGTTTTCCCTCTCAGGGCAGCTTTATATTTATGCTCAACATTAACTTTTCACATTGGTACACATTAGTTATATTTACAATTCCCATTAAAAACCTTATATCCACTCCCATTTTAAGGGCTACCTGAAATAGGAAGGGCTTCAGAAAACACAGGTCTGAATTGACCATTTCATTTACAACTCACTTTTAGTTTAATATTCTCTTTGAAGCAAAGCTTCAAAAAGTTGAAAATTAACTCACTAAAACTGTATAGTGTTAGATAAAAGTGACCAAAGTAATTATAAAGCATCCTTAGGAACATCTATACTTAGTAAAAAGAAAAAAAAAAAAAAAAACTTCTGCATATCATGAAATAAAAGCCAAACTTTTAAGAATTGAAAAATCTCCACAATAAGGCCTACACATGTTCATCCTTGGTTCAGGCCTATAATTACTGACTGGAATGAATAAAAGAATAACTTGGTTACATTTTTTTTTTCAGATGATATCTGGTATAATTTTGTAACCTTATCAAATATAATGACTAGTTTCATCGTTTTCTAAAACAACCTTTCCAAAAGTAGGACTATTCATACATAAATCTAGAGACTTAACTTTCCTCTTGAGACCTGAGAGGTTTAAGTATTCAGTATCTGTTCTATATGTAAAGTTCTAAATATTTTACTTATAATGTTCTCTAGAGATATATTTGCTATTTTTAATATTAATGAAATAAGTCTGTTGCTTCAGTTCCTTTCTAAAAATGCATTATTCTTTTTTTAAAAAAGATACTTATTGGTAGAAAGAGATCTTCAGTGCATACTTTTGTGTTTATGTGAATAAAATTCTACATTCTTTTGAAAGGGTTTTTTCTTTTATTTGGAGGTTTTGGATTCTAAGCACACTTAACACATTATCTACCATTTGATCTATGCCCCTAGCCCTTTTTACTTTGTTATTTTGAGGTAGGGGCTTGCTAACTTTGGCCAGGCTGACCTAGAACTCATGCTTTTCCTGCCTCCACATCCTAAGTAGCTGAGATTATAAGCGTGCACCACCATGTCCAGCTTGAATTTGATTCCTGATAGATTTTTTTCTTAAGATTGCAAAACCAGTTTTGAGAAACCATACATATTATATACCTGATTTAATCCAAAGAATTATTTGAACTTTTAAGTCACAAAAAGGCAGTACTCAAGCAATCTACATGTTCTAATTTTTTCACATTCCATTTATGAAGAAATATTTGTTCAGTATTATATGCATATTCAGTATTATGTATTATATGCATGTACAAATTTTCTTTGAGAAAATTTAGAGAGTCTCACTATATAGCTTTCAACCTGAGCCTCTTGAGTGCTGGATGACAGGTCTACAACTAGTATTATACATTGCCTACTGTCTGTTAAGCATCTCAGAGACATTTCAATAACCTGTTTCAAAAAATTGTATTTTAATTGACTTTTTCTCAGAGATATTATCATACACAGTATTAGCACAAAAGCTTAAATAAGAACGAAGTACCTAAAATATATTTAGCAAACATTGAGCCAAACACGCTCTCAAAGGCTTAAACCCCAATGTCTAAGCCTAGTGCTAAGCCCAAAAGCCAGACATGGTGGTGCACAGCTGTCTCAAAAAAAAAAAAGCACAAAAGTGCTTAGAAACTAGATAAAGTACTTAGATAAAATTACCAAATTAAAACATTCTAAAGGCTGCCTGGTTCTAGCAATATTAACTATTCTTTTTTTTTCTTTTTTTAAATTATCATATTATTATTGTACTGGGGGTACACTGTGACTTTTACAAAAGTAATATGAACTATTCTGTACTTTTTTTAAGACACCATTGGGAATCAAACTACATAGAAACATACAATATGGAAATCTTGACTCAAAGGTGTTTCATTATGTTTCTGTATGCTTTCTTGAGACAAAACCAGAACAGCCTAAGTATTTATCCCTATTGCAAGTCTCAAAATGAAAGCATAGCTTGGCTGCCTTGAGCGCTATTACACATTGCTCAGTAGCTCAATGTCTGATGACTTCTCCCATAGACCACATCAAAATGCTACTTGTTTGTGTTTGTTTTTTACACAATTCCAACCCTATTTTTAAAATAATATATATTTCTCAAAGGACTCTGATCAATAAATATTTAAAATGACTACTGTGTGAAAAGAATGGAATGATGAATATCAATGATCCTTGTCAACATGAAGCACACAGTCTTATAAAACTATGAAAGGCCTGCATTGCATTTACAAGGGTAGGCTTTGAGGACGTATTTGCTTGCACTGAATATATTTCTTGATCATTTGGTCCATTATTTTTACAATTACATGTTTAGAGACTAGGCATTTACTTTTAACATGGTCCATTACTTTGTGCCCATTTACATGTTGCTTTCTAAGACTTCAGGCACCTCCTTCAATAAGACTGTAAAGTTCTGCAGGTATGGTGAGGCAAGTTTGTAATCCCACCACTTGGGAGGCAGAAGCAAAATATTCAAGAGTTCCAGACTAGCCAGGGCTACAAAGTGAGTTGAAGGCTACAAAGCAAGACCCTGTCTCAAAACAAACAGACAAACAAACAATTGTAAATTTCTTAGAGCAAGAATTGCATATTCTATTTATTTCCCTCTTAATGGAAATACTCCCATAATAGGATTCAAATGAACTCAAAACCTTAAGGATAAGAAGGGTACTTATGTCAACTCAACCCTAATTAAGAAAGAAAAAGATAGACATTAAGCTTTTATCACTTAATTACAATTTGAAATTATTTCATCAGGTTAAAGTTACTCAAGATAAAAATAAACTTTTTTTCATCCAATCATTGAATTAGTATATATTGACTACTTACTATGTCTTAAATAGGGAGTCTTTTCCTTCACTGAATTTGAAATCAAGTGATTAAGGTCTTTTATAAGAGCCAAAAATTGAACTTGGTGACCACTAAAATTCTTCCCTATCTAAACTCACAATGATCTCATTAAATTTAAAGAATGTTGCAAAGGAGAAATGAAATTTTTGTGGTACTGGGATTTGACATCTGGGTTTCGCTCTTGCCAGGCAGGCAAGGCTCTCTCTTTTCTCCAGGGTGGCCTGGCCTGTGATCCTCCTGTTTATGCTTCCCATGGTAGCTGGATGACTGGCATGTCACTACACCCAGCTTTTTCTGTTGAGACTAGGTCTCAAGTACTTTTTGCCTGGGCTGCCCTGGTATTGCAATTCTCCAGATTTCAGCCTCCTGTATAGCTGGTATGGTAAGCACACACCACTGTACCCTGCTAAGGAGTAAGATAGGTCTGGAGAACTTTTTGCCAGGAGTAACTAGGATTACAGGCATGAGCCACCAGCACCCAGAATTAGGGAACAAAAAATTTCAAAGATTCTAAAGAGGTTTAAAATTAGTATTTTCTAACAGTGCATTTGAGACTTAAGCAACTCACTTCCCTTGTCTCTAAAAACTCCTAAGAGAATTCTAAGCACCATTTTTGAAAAAAAAAAAAAAAAAAACTAAGTACTACTAATTTATGATGTATTCCCATTTTTCTCTAGGTATGCTTAATTTTATTTATCATTGCTACAATAATCCATTTTATTCAATATGAGAATCTAAAAGCATTAAATATTTTAGTTATTAAAAATTTAGTGACTCCATGTAACTCCCAAATGCTGCTTACCTATGCCACCTAGTGGTATGAGAATTCTCTAGCTCACAATGCTAGATTTCATAAAAATCAGTTTTTTTATGTTGAAGTAGCTACAGATTTTTTATGCAAGGAAACTGACAGTGAAATTAACTAAGACACACAGATAAGGCTAAAATAAAGACTAATTTCTCATCTCCTTCTCTTTGTACTATGTTATACTGAGAATAAACTAATAGGAGACAATACTGACCTCCCAAAAGCGGGGAGCAAGACTTAAAATCTTACCCAGGCACTTCAAATCCCATAGTTTGCTTCTTTCCAGATACAGTCATTTTAGCAATTTTTGGCACAAGTTCAGATTCACTTCGAGATGACTGAGATCCTACTGATTTTCCTAATGAAAGAATAAAATGTAAAAGGTGAATTAGAGTTAATATCTGGAAATAAATTACATATTACATAAATTATACACTATGTTAATTTGCAAATAATTTATGCCTTTATAAACATATCTTTTCTCTAAACAAATTTAATGAGATCTAAATGCTGAAAAAAATTCTATTACCCTATTCTGGGAAATCCCCTATTGTCAGGACTCTCCTGTGTTTAACCTCTACCAAATCTCTTCCTAATTTTGAACTGACTGTTAAGTTTCAGTATTAAGAGGTCACAAGGTGGTTTCTGCACAGAGCCTTATTCTGACATTATACCTAGACCCTCTACTTACCTCCCCTACCACACCCTTTCACAATACTAAAATTGTTTGGTCAGTTAGCAGATGGCAAAACTATTTTTAATTCTGTGAGATTTATAAACTCATGAACAAGTTGAGAATCTGCTAATTTTGCTGGAACACTGCATGCATTTTACTTGCAGACAACACTAGACTTAGTATGATAGCTGATGTCTACAAAGAATATGAGAAAAGAGGTCAATGTAGAAAAAACTTAATTAAAAACATGAATAAATTATGAGCTAATCAAAAGTAAGACTTCTGCATTTGATCCTTATATGTGGAACTCACTAATTTTTAAAAATGTATCTTCATAATTTTTAAAAGGAATACCAACAGAATTATATACAAAAAACTATAGAAAATGCATTGCTACACCAGTAAATAAACACATGGAAAATACTGAATAAATCAGGAAAGATAAATTCGTGTATTCATGTACAGAATTCATTCAAATGTTTACTGTTTACCCACTCTATGCCAGGTACTATGCTAAACATACAGTGGTGACCAAGAGCAGATAAAATGCTTGTGCTCAGAGAGCTTACAGACCAATGGGGAAAACACTAGTGTTACAAAGAATTCCTAAGATCTGATGGCAGGGTACATGAATCAGTTTGTCTAGGAAAGTGAGAACTGGAGGTAAGATATGAAAAACAAAGTAGAAATCTGCATGGAAAGGAAGGGCATTCCAAACACATAAGGCCCTGGCGATGAAGGGAGCTAATTAAAGGTATAGAAGTGGACAGGGCCAGACATGCAGGACCTCTGGGCCACACCAAACATGCTAATATTTGTTCTGCCCAAATGGATACCACACCACCACCAAAATGAGATAAGCCAGTGGAAAGAGGGAAAAAAGAAAAGAGAGGGAGGAAAAAGGGACATCTGAAAACAACCAGTTGGGGTGGGAATGACATTAGGATGAGTTAGAAATTTAGACCATCTGAAATCTCTAAAAGAAACATCAAGAAGGCAGTTTGATACACTGGTGAAGCCCAAAGGTGAGGTCTACTGGAACATGTGTTTGTGATTTATGAGTACAAAATTGGTAGTTAAAAACAGACATGTGTGACCACCAAGGCAGAGTACAGATTAAAAAAAAGAAATGATCCTAAAACAAAGCCTTAGAGAAGCCCAGCTTTAAGTGCACCTTCAGCAAGGTGAAGAAGAGCCAGTGCTGGGTGGTATCAAGGCAGCTAAGAGTGTGTTTGATGGAGTTGGCATCAGCAGGATCTGCTGGTCATTCAGCTGAGATGAAGGTTGGTGGAACTGACCACTTTAGATAAAAGTTGCCAGGAGAGTTAGCAAGAGTCATTTGAAAACAATAAAAGCCAAGAATGGGTTGAAAAACAGGAGGCAGGTGAGAAAACAGGCCACTATCTCTTACCTGTAACTTCAAAGTCTACAAGCACTGAAATATTAAAGTTTTTTAAATAACTCATTTGGCTCTTGTTTGATTTTTATTTTTTGTTATGTAGCCCAGGCTGGCCTAGAACTTGTTATGTTGCCCAGTCTGGTCTCCAACTCATGATCCTCCTGACCTCACCTCTGGAGTGCTAGGATTATAGATACATACCAACACACTCAGAGAATAACTCATTTGGAACCAAAATCTGACATGGACTGGCATGAGGCTATTCATCTGTAGTCCTTATTTACCCCACTCAAAGTGAAAAACTACACATTTGGGGGCAGAAATAATAATGTGTTAATAACAGGGTGACCCTGCACAATCCACTGGGCTACTATACCTTACATGCAAATGCTTTTCCAAACTCAAAAAAAATGTGAATCAACGGGCTTTAGATAAGGGATTGTAGGTGTGTTGGGAAAAAAATTAAGTTTGGCTAGAAAGGGAGGAATGTGGTAGAATGACAGTAAAAGAGAAATGTGGTATCAACCTAATGAAAAAACAAAATTGAGAGGGTTTGGCTGAATACATTAAGGTGAGATCACCAATATTTTACATTTTAGTGTTTCTAGGAAGGCAGAAAGGGATGGGATCCAAAGTATAGGTAGAGAGTGAGCTAAGATTGGAAAAACACCCTTTTATTGCAAAAGAAGGTGGGTTTATATGTTTCAAAGCTTAAAGAGGAAAATTCCTAATGGATGGCTTCTATTTTCTACTTATATATTAACTAGCTATCTTCTGAGACTCAGGTTGGACAAGAAAAATAAAAGGATCTGAAAAGTGAGTAAGAGAATGGGCTGAAGCACTAAGGCTAATTTGTGACTTTTTCTAGCACTGTTCAGCCATTCAGGGAAACACATTAATAGTTAGAAGGCATTGACTGCTTCAGGTGGGGTTAAGAGACGAGAAAGCAAAAAGGTGTGGAAGATACTGCTCCCCCCTAAAAAACAATCATGAAATCTAAAAGGGATAAATAAAATGACAAGGGGAGAACACAAATGTACTAAGAGAAAGTAGGGGAGTCTATGGGCCAAGAAAAGGTCATGGTATGGAAAGCACAGTTAGAAGTGATGGTGGTCAGTTGCAATGTAAGTGAATTTTTGATTTTGAAGAAGAAATAATACTGAATTGCTGAGGAGAGGTGCAGTTCACTGCAAATGAGGTCATCATGAGCTGAATGTCCTTGCTTCAACTGGACAGGGTGGTTTTTCCACACAGGTGCACTAGTGAGCTATGATCATAAATTGTAATCCAGCCCAAAGTCTTCAGTGAATAAGGAAAAGCAACCATGTGGTTGTTCAGCAGATGAATGCACAACTGACAAAAGCCCAATTTAGACAAAAGACAAGAACCTCACAGGAGCAGTGGATGGGGGAAGAAAAAAGCATGGAGACATAATGATGTTGGAAGGCAAGAAAGAGAATAAAGTTGACCTCCTACGTTTGAGAAGCTACAAATGAGCAAAACAGGTGGAAAAACACTAGGAAAAAATGACTTATAGAGGTGCTAGCTCTTAGTGGAAAAAAAAAAAGCAGCTCCCAGAGTTCCAGCAAAAATGAAGAGTGAGGAGACAGAGAAGATGGACACTTAGGGCATTATGATGATGAGGGTGGTGGTGTGTATGTGGGAGGTGTTTGTAGAAAGACAAGACAGGGAAGGAGGTAGGGAGGAAGGAAATATCCTGACTGAGTAAAAGAGGGAAAAGAGGTGTGGTAGTTTTTGGCATATATCATAAGAACAGGAATTAAAAATGTAAGAGTCTCTCAATCCAGGCTTTACACTTTCAACTTCCCACTAAGGTTCACTTTTATTATCTCCTATTTTCATGTAAAAACTTTCCTGACCCACTTAATACATTTTTAGCACACTGAAATATTGTAATTTTGACTTTTAAAAGGTCTGTAAGCATAGAGAAAAATCACAATGTGATATCGCAATGTTTCTTGGGATATAAAAATATTAGTTTTCTCTATCACTCTGTGCATGTTTTTGTGATTCTTATCTGTGGGACCCAAGATGCAACAATTCAAACATTTGCTTACGTGAAAATAGATGAAAGAGGCCAGGATTATGAATCCACTCACTAACGCCTTTAACTTTTTTTTTTTTAGGTTAAACATGCCTTTAAAAAGCTAACAAAAACCATACTTCTAATAGAAAAACATACCACACAAATAAAATTCTGCGTATCATCTCAAAGAGTTCAATAAGTCTAGTTATAGAAGAGATAACTTTAACCAAACTATTTTGGAAACAGGTTAATTCAAATTAATAATATTATCCAAGGCCAAAGATTAGAAACATACATTCAGTAAGTTGTCCACTGAGCTGTTGTTACCAGCAGTGTGATACATATTCACTTATCCAACCATATTACAATGTCCTCATAACTAGTATCATGATGGATAGGAGGTGAACTCTACAACATAAATCAGAATGAACTAATAACTAAAATAATCAACCACAGATCAATAAGAGATATAATGAAAGTATTCAAATCTAGCACATTAAAAAAACCCTAAAATGTTACTGTGCTCTCTCGTACTTCCAGCCAACTGTATAATAGTCCCACAAAATTGAGTAAATCCCAAAACATGGCAGCAGGAAATGAGTACCAGATGCAAAACAGGGAGCTTGGATTCCCATCCCTGCCTTGCCACTGTTACCTTATAGCTTTGTAACTTCACCTTTCTCTGAAATTTTTGGGAGAGTTTGGGGGTTGTGGTGCTAGAGATCAAACACAGTGTTGTGTTTGTGCCATGCTCCCAGCCCTTCTCTGAAGTTTTATGTGAAGAATCTGAAGTTTCCACCTCATATAATGAAGTGAGTTAAATGATTTCTAGCTCTGTGAATGCATATGTATCTATGACTCCCAAACCACTAAGATGCCCTTTAAATCAAATAGGCCACATAAGGTAAAAGTAAAAATGTCCCATTCCAAAAGATTCTCAATGTCCTCCCTCAAAGACATGAAAAGTCAGCCCACAAATCATGGTCACATGCACCCTGCGGGTGTGGCTCAAATGGTAAGAGTGCCTGCCTAGCAAGTGCGAGGCCTTGAGTTCAAACTCCACTATCATCAAAAAAAATGAAAGAAGATATGCACTCTGAAGGTTCATATATTAATAACTGGTGTTTAATCTCTAATGGAATACAGAATTTCTCATTTGTTATTGTTCATTTGGACAGTAAGAGTTACTCAGTCAAATCTAGTTTGCTAGTTTTATAGACAAAGAAG